CAAACGTAACCGTTTTTGAAAAAAAAAAAAAAAAAAAAAACGTAACTGTTTTGGTAGGCCTACTTAACTGTAATATTTTTAAAAAAATAAACAAGAGACTATCTACTTAAATATCATATCAATTTAAACTAGAGATTATCTTCATATGCCCAAGAACCAAAAAATAATAATTTATAATATGATTTAAATGTAAAATGAGCGAGGTGAACATCCAGAATCGACGTGGTCTAAAAGGCTAAAGCGTAGAGTTAAATATACTTGAATCCGAAAGCAAGCGCCAAGTATCCATGATGTGAAGTTGATAACCCTTGTTGATCAAGCAAATGAAGAATAAAAGCAACCAAGGTCTAATTCTAGTCAAATTAAAGTTGGGTTGAGTTAGTTTTGGGACCATAAGAGGAGTCTTTGTGTTTTGTCTTCTTGTGAGCTAGGTTAGAGGATGTCTCCTCTATATAAGCGACATTATAGACGTGAGAGAGAGTTGGCGCAGCCACACTAAGGCTTTAGATGATAGAGATACATAGAGAGTAGTACAAAGAGTGAGTTCATGAGTGTAAACAAGATTGAATCACTTGTAGCTCTTGTAATATGTATACCTTCTAATGGATTCCGAGCTGTAGTCTCGGGGAGATGTAGTGACCCTTGTTAACTGGCGCGAACTCCTTAGATTGTGTGTGTGTGCTCCCATCTTCTCCTTCTTTCTAATCTCTTCTACAAACTTTCTACACTCTACACTCTATTATCTACAACTTTGTTTTTTACAGTCTCTTTTTGAACTTCAAGAAACTTCTCTCTTGGTTTCGTTGTGGGTTTATGCTGAGACAAAGTCATGTCTTTGAGCCTCTGAATCCTAACACATGGACATTACATATGTATGTTTATATCCGTAAATATGTAATTAGTGTAAGAAATGATATAATATCATCATTTTTAAGCTGAGATGTCAATGCGATTTTGGGTGAAAAAAAGGAAGAGAAAAGAAAATTAAGTTGGTAGGTAGCTTATATCGTATGTCAACCCAATTAATCAAGAATTAGACTAAACATCATATCAATTAGGTGTTCCAATCTAACACGGATTAGATTTGGGTGGTTTAAGCTGGTGAAAAATGGATTACAGCATCATAGCCTTAAACCAACATACCATTTATTATCGATAGAGAATAGAACTTGTTTGAAAAGAAGAGGTGAAGAGGACGAAAGCAACAAGAGACTGTGAATGGTGTGAAATTGGAGATGATGTATCCACGTATCTAACTAAGAGTATGTATGGTGTACTTAAGCTTAATGCAAAGGGAGATTGAAGATATATATTGGTCATGCAAGAATAGCTTCTTTTTCTTGGCTTTTGTTATTTTTGAAACTAAATCATAGCTTTTTTGTGCTAAAGATTGTCGGTTGGAGGGTTCAAATTGAACCAATACACCTTTGTCCAAAATTATCACTTAACATCATTTTACAGCATCCTTTGGCTTCTGAACCAATATTATTCTAGAGACTTCCTCGGAGTGCTTACACGACGCTTCAACGAATCCAAATGAACACATCAGCCTCAGCCACATTCGTCACAGCATCCTTTGGCTTCTGACAAGAATTGAATCATGGAGTTTAGATCATGTTCTTCCGGATCGAAAAGAAGCTGCAGCGGCCATTGCTCTTAGTGTCACTCGGGATCGGTGCCACCAGTCCTATATCGCTCAGAATGCTTCATCGTGGCTCCACCATTTACTCGTTTTGGTGTCCCAGTAACAAAGGGAATTGGTAAGCTAATTTTCTTTTCCCATGATAGTGTCTAATGACATCTCATCTCTTTGTTATTAGCTTATCATCATTGTTTATTCTATCAAACTATGTATCTTTGTCAGTGTTATAAAAAAACATCATTTTACAGAATTTACTACAAAAGTAACTATATTGAGAAAATATTCTGAGTTTAGAAAGACTTTTATTTAGGACATTGAGTTGAGAAGACTGGTGACAATTCTATTCCTCTAACTAAAGGGGTTTTAAGTAAAGAAAAAGCTTGTCATCTTGTTCACCTCACCCAGATTATATTCATAAATTCTAATCAATCATCCGCCATCCGGTAAGCAAATAGTTTGATGATTTAAAGTTATAATGCAAATCGGTGGTCCTCACACGCCCAACTTCTCTGTGGAGACTTTTGATGGCCTGATTTATTCACACAGTATGTAACAAATCATAACATCACATATCTTTACACCATCAATACTATTATTCAACTATAATTTATAATGAAAGTCCTAGACAAGACCAGCTGGCATAGGGACCACCATCACCAGGAAGCACAAACTCACTCCACTCAACCCTTCCATGGATATCTACTCCAACCTTATCCAAGGCGATCATCGCACACCAAAACTTCTCTTCACTGTCTTTCTTCAGCAACGCAAGTTTCCCATTGCATTCCACCATATGGTGCCACTTCACATCATAACACAAATCTTTAACCATTCTCCATATCTTTTCTTTTGAGTCATACCACATTAACCCAATGTCATGGTAAAAAACATAGATCAAACTGTTTATCACACACGCTTTCCATATCCTCTGTGTATATTCATACGATATCTCAAGATTCTCACACGTACCATCTTTTGTGTCGTAGATTGTGTGATAACCTTCACAAAAACTCATACCATAAACCTTTCCATCTAGGGCCACGGCTTCACGAAATTCATTCCACTTATGTCCTCTCCCGTATGTGATTTTCCCATGGGGACCTAATGGCCCAACTTCCCAAGTTTGAGTATTTGGGTCAAAAACCTCAATCTGGTCTTCGTCGCAGCCTCCAATTCTGCACCCTCCCATAACGTATATTTTCCCATCCACCACTGCCACGCCTGCTCCCTTTCTTGCCACCTTCATGCTAGGACCCTTGCTCAACTCGCCAGACCGGGAATCAAAGATAACTACGCCAGATGAAAACTCATGATCCCAATCCGACCCACCAACGAAATAGATCTTAGAACCTACGGACACAGTGGGACAAGTGAACATATTTTGAGTTGTTTTAATATCAACTGACTTCGGAGGACTTGTTTTCTTCTCTTTTAAGTTGAAAGTGGCCCAATGAAACGTCTTCCAGCCACGACGAGTGGAGTCAATATTGAATACACACAAGAGGGGATAATCTTTCATGGCCAGTAAGTACCGCCGCATCTGCGCAAGCTCACCAGAAAGCACAAGAGACTGGAAGTTTTTGCAAACACAAGAGAGTGTCGGGTCGTAGCTTGCCGGGACGCGAGCTAAGCAGTTCAAAACAAGATCGTGTGGTAGTGAGGACAAAGAATAATATTGGTTTCTGTGAATTATATGTATTGCTCGTCTCATGATATCAGTGAATAGCGACCACATCGACGACAACGCTCGATGAATTTCTTCTTGCGTTGGCTCTTTGGCGTTTGAGTCGGCTGCGGTCGACATCACCTATGCAGTTCGGTTTGGAGAAGAGATTAAAAGAAAAAAAGGGTATAGGGAACCCTAATTAAGACGAAAAAGTTATATTAAATATAGTTATGATCTGAATTAAAAAAATTGAGAGGAAAATAGACAAAATAAGATGTGTGAGATGATGTCAGAACCTGGTCAAGGCGGCGGCAGAGCGATGGTAAATTTGAACGCAGCGCTGAGCTTTTAGGTCTTTGGAGACGATGGCTTTTTAGCATACTAGCAAGTAGCTTTTAGATTATTGCTTTGGCCCATGTAGAAAACAAGTAGAGATGTTCAAATGGGCTCACCTAATAGGATTACAACCAATGTTTTTAAACTCCACCCGACACTGAACCATATAGTTTACCGGATCATTGGGTCAATGGGTCGACCATGGATGAACCCTAAATTAATAAATGAAATTTTATTATATAATAGTATGTTAGTTATGAAAATAAATATATAGAAACTAAAGTTAAATAATTTCTAACTGTGTTTTAAAACATAAAATGTATATATATACAAAATATCAAAAACTAGTTTAACATGTACTAGAACTTAAAACATGTAGTATGATAAATTTATGATAAACAAAAAAAATAAAAACCAAAGAAAAAAGAAGAAGAAGGATATAAAGAGTCGTAGAAGTGAGTAGAAAGAAGAAAACGGCAATGTCAATAACTAAAACTTGAAAATCTAACTTTTAAATTAGAAATTTAGAATATAAAACAGAATAAAAACATAATTTAATACTAAAAAAAGAAAAAAAATTATTTATTGGTTCAACCGGTATCGAATTTTAGTGAGGTTTTTCTGAGTTTTTGCGGGTTTTTAAGTTTGGGTTTTTGACAAAATCCGAACCAAATTTATTTTGGGTCATCGGGTTTACCGGTTTAACCGCGGGTCCAGATCGAGTTTCAAAACACTGATTACAACCTAACCCTGATAACTTGACTAAATATAATTAGACAATGAATTTATAAGGTTAAGTGTTTAAATTGGTTACAAAAATGAGTTTTTCCATCTAAATAGCTAAATTAAAATTTTCCACCAAAACAATTTTTTTACCAAAGTTGAATTATGTTTACTCACTAAAACTGTAAAATTTATATTTTCCCACAAAACTTCAAAATCGAGTTTTTTCCCACAAAACTTCTCTAAGAAAAGAGAAAAATCTATTTTATTGATATAGATAACAGATTAACAATAATTCGAAGAAGCACATTTACATATAGTTTCTAAAGCAGTCTTACGTACCTTGTTCTTTTTGGAATTATAAAATTATTATATACTGTGAATGTTTGGCAGAATAAAGACGGAAGACAATCCTCTCGTTAAGCAAATGTTGTATTTTCAACTTCCACACCACACTCTAAACACATGACTTAACAAAAAAAAGCTTTAAGTCACTTAAAATACATGTAGAGATATCACTTTTTCTTCAAATTTCTCTCTATAAATAGTCGATCAAATTTAATAAACATATAAGAGAAAACAGAGCAAACATAATTTTCCATCAATAAGTGAAAAAATGAGGAACATTACTAAAAGCCAGACTATGTTACTACTCGTTGTTACACTTTTAATGGTGATTGCGTACCATGAGGGAGAAGCCATACAATGTTCACAGATAACCATGTACTTAGCACCATGTTTGTCTTATGTAAAAGGTGGAGGAAATCCACCTCCACCGTGTTGTGCCGGGCTCAATAATCTAAAAGCCTCTGCGCCGGGGAAACCCGATAAACAAGCAGCTTGTCAATGCTTGAAGAATGTAGCTAATGCCATAGCCGGATTCAACGATGACTATGCCAAACAACTCCCTGCTAAATGTGGTGTTAGTGTGGGGGTCCCTTTCTCTAAGAGCGTGGACTGTAACAGGTATAGCGAAGATTGCAATAGCATCCATCTATCAATTTAGAAAAAACACCTGAAATCTTTTAGTTACAAAAACAATATGATGAAATTATTTTCTAAATATGATAGATTGATGCTGTTGCACGTTAAGTATATGTAAGCTTCAATCAATAAATAATCCTCTAACTGGCCTTCTCTATTTCTTTCTGAACAGCATAAACTAAAAAGAGGGGACAACTAACGGCCATGCAGCTACAATATAAACTGGATATCCGGAAAGAGCAAAACGCATCATAACAAAATTAATTGGATACTTTATACATGTATAATCATATAGCTCTTGACAAAATAAATTGTGGAATTCCCATATCTACACGATCTTCTCTAGTACTCAGGTCTCATAGAAAGGAGCTTCCAAAATTTTCTGAAACTAATTGTTTTATAGAAATCATCAGTGCATAGATTCCAAGAAAATTACTCTTGAGCTTTACTAGAAAATCGAGTAATTGAACTGTTCTGATAATCCAAAATATTTTTCTAGGAAATAGCAGAGAAATAGGCAACTTCTCTAAGTTAAAAAAAATCAGTGTCGAATGATGCCTAAATCCTTTAACCAAGTTAGTATCTCTTTCGATCCTTCCCTAGAGTATGCCCATTGATATCTCGACACATTCACTAACTATTAAGGTCAACTCCAACCATTACATCAAATTTAATGTTTAAATTATACAAAATTTATATGTTTAGCTTTAATTTTTATCTCTAATAACAATACTAAATTCTACACAAAAACCAATATTATATTAATATTTATAATTTAGCTAATTATATTTCATAACATTTATATTTTATGATTTTGTGTGTTTCACTATTTATTTTATAATTTATTTTAGTTAGTTTATATATTAATTAATTTATTTATGTAAAAAAAATTGAGACGAAAATTTTATATATTTATTATGGTTCGGTAATGTGAAAATAAAAAGGAAAAATACAAATAGTATGATATATTTTTAACTATAAATTAAAACTATGAATAATATAAATTTAATTATAAAATAATAAAATATACTATTTTAATATTTTGGATCAACACAAAATACCAAACTTAATATATTACTACTATTTACGAACCACCAAATTTGGTGGAATAATGTCTTAAATTAACTTGCTATTTTCATATCTCATTAAAAAATTAAGTGTAGTACAATTCATAAAACACCAAATCTTCTCTATTAAAAGAGAAGTACCAAATTTATCTACTATTTAAAAGTCATGTTGGATCATGTTAATAATTATTTAATTTGACATATTTGATTGTTATATTAACCAGTCGAATACTCACTATGTTCTTAAATAATCTATGTTCTAGACTTTTCACAAATATTAAGAAAACTCATTTAATTTTGATTGTAAATGCATTGTTTTTTGTGAATAACAATTTTCCATAACTTTTAACCAATAGAAACTCAATAAACAGCATTAATTTTTTTGAAACTTACAATTCACTAAATCATTCATTGAAAAAGTAAAAAAATGCATCTTTTTGGAACAAACTTTTTTTCTATAATTTACATCTTTTAGGAACGGAGGGAGTATATATTATTTTCAAAATATCATAATAATTAATAAGGATATTACTAAGAAATAAATTTAAATATAACAAATTCTGTTGGAAAAAATCTAACAAGATCTTACCGAAAAATTTAAATATTTTTTTATCAAATAAGTATTTCTTTATTTTGTTATTAGATAGAATTATAATTAAAATTAAAATATAAATCATATATTTAAAAATTTAGTTGTATAATTATAAAATAAAAAATATACCCGCACGGGTGAAACTCTAGTTCACTGATATAGTCTCATTTTAAGTTTTTTCATGGTAGAGCCTAAAACATCCAGAAGAACCAGTGACTAACTATTTTCACTTACTCTGCACACCAACATATGTTGTCTTGTTTATCTCCTTCAAATATTCTTTTAGTCCAAATTCTTTTATATATTTTTTTTTAAAAAGGGATTAACTTGCCAAGTTAATTATCGTTGGTTAGTGCCATTAAGTAGAAGATAGTAGTATGTATATACTTTCTATACTAAACCATGTGAGAAAAAGGAAGACGCTTCTATTCTTTCTACCACACAGCCTTCACTACCACAGTGTGATTGATTGATGATTATTGATTACCATCTCCAGTTTTCTAAACAGCAAACAAATAGGGGGCAAAACTGTCTTTATCTGGGGTTAATTAGCAGCAATGTATTTAATTAAGCAAGTTTTGTAGTATTAATTACACAAACCCCCACACTAATAGTGTTGGTCGGTACTCACAATTGTAAGCTACTCGATTGCGATTTCCCTTTTCCACCGTAAGAACCAAAAAAGGCTAAACATCGAATCTTCTACCTTCCTCCTCTGATCAAAAGCAAACATCTTTCTTAAGATCGGAGGAGTATGGAGGTATGACGGCGGTGGGAGATGGCGAGGGGAGGAGGAGAATACAACGGAGGAGGCGGAGGAGCTCTCTCTTACAAAAGAATCACTCTACTCGTTTGCCTTGTCAACATCCTCATCGCTCTCTTTGTTCTTCGCTTCCTCTACGCTTCTTCTCTCCACATCTATCCTAATCACGACAACAATGGTTCGTTCAAAAAAAAAAAGGAACACTCTTTTTATCTTTCTTTGATGATAAGTTTGCATCTAAAGGTTCTGTCTTTTCTCATGTTTTTAATTTATGTAGGTGTTAAGTACACAGCAGATGAGATTAGGAGAATGGAGGAATCGGTTCGGATTCGGAGATCTAAAGAACCTGTTGAGCTTGTTAGATTGGTTAGTGGTGAACTCTGTTTACTTCTATTTTAGGATTCGATGTGTTGGTTTCTTCTGATGTACAAAACCTTATAATAGGTGAAGAAGATGAAACATGATGTGGCTATTGCTGAATCAAGTATTGAGTTGTCTCCTAATGTAAAAGGCAAACTAATCGATGAGATCTTGGAGCGTTTGAGAAGATTAGAGGAGAAGTCTAATTATACCCTTCTCAGAGGTTTGTCATGTTCATAGTCGTATGGATCTTTTGTTTTGCTACTAGGCTATGCCTATTTTTTTTTTAAGTAGAATATAAAGTTGTGACATTTATTTTGAATCTGTCACTAACTTACACTTCTTTTAACTTTCCTTATCTACTAAGGGCTTGTCTTCTTCCCTTGTTGGAAAGTGATGGTGTCTTGTTGACTAGATTTTGTCTTGTTACCTAACCTGTGCAAGATTTGGTCCATGTCATGAGCTCAGTTTTAGTAAAGATATCAGCACCATTCATGTAGGAGTGGAGTATAGCTCAAGTGACTAGATAATATCATCAATGTAGGACTCTAATATATCAATACTGATTGCTTTTTGATGCTTTATTTGCTTGGCCTCTTTCGATAGTTTATTTCACTTCCACCTTACTCATTAAGAGCCACTGTGTGGAAGTGATAATCTATCACAACAAAATGAAGCATGGGAAACGAATCAGTATCTTGAAAAATTGGATGTTTTCCCTTGTGGTGTGTTATCAGCTGCAATAGTTTTCCTTTGACACATTCATGTCACCCTTCATTCACTGTATTATCTTTCATTTGGCGAACAGAAGCTGTAGAAACGTGGCGCAATGAGAAGCTGAAGGAAGCTAAAGAGCTGATTCACGAACAAAATGGGGTAAATTCCACCATGATACTGGAGGAAGCAGGTATGTACTCGTCACCATGACCACATATTCGTTATATGAAACCCTCTAGATACTGGATCATTCTTTTATATAATTAGAAGGGAACTCTCTCGTTCTGTAACTATCATATAGGGATGCTTGTAAGAGCTTTGGAGTTTGAGTGGGACGTGCTGTCGGAAGAGATTGGTCTTTGGTTACCTGCTGAGGTTAACAATGAAGTGCACGATGATAAACCTGAAGGAGAGGAAGAGCCTGGTACTATTTCTCATAAATCTGTAACTTTAAATTCGTTTGGATGGATAAATAAACGTGTGATGGGTTTATAACCAAGAAACTAAATGAATTTTGACGAATTAAAAAGCTCACGACGAGGTTATGCATTTGTTATAATTTTACAGAAGAGGTATTAGCAGGAAGACCAGTGCCAGCTGTATGTAACGCAGAGCTTCACACAGATTATGGTGGAGCTGCAGTGAGATGGGGACTTACACATCACAAAGAGAGTGCAGCAGATTGTTGCCAAGCTTGCTTAGACCAGGCAAAGCGCGCAAGACCTGGAGAAACGAGATGCAACATTTGGGTTTATTGCCCATCTGAGTTTGGTTGCTATTCTCCAGATATTTATCAGCATAAACATCAGGAGTGTTGGCTTAAATACGTAAGAACTTACCTCTTTCACTTTCCCCAATTTTCAGCTCGATAATGAAACTTGTCCCATATAGTTATTATGTCATTGTGAATTGCAGGCAGAGCAGCCAAAAGAGAATTTTAAAGACAGATATTCAGAGTCATACAGAAATAACCATCCAAAAGCGCCTACTATTGTTCCATGGGTTTCAGGTGTTATAACGGCTCGAGCATAAACACCCATGTGGACACAGGACTGTTTGATGGGACAATAGGAGAGAGAGATAGTGTTCGTTATTTCTTATTTGTGTTACCATTTCTTCAGAGTGCTGAAACTTGAAGTTCCGGACCAAGATGCTAACATCGTTGGTCAGTTGTATACGAGAATAGAATTTTTAATTTTTTTGGTTTCTTGTTATGTTTGTTTGTCTTTGAAACACGTGGGGCTTACCACAACACATGGTCGAAGTAGAATATGGGATAATGAATATGTTTTTGTCCAACCTTGTTCGATTGTGTACTGGCTAGCAATGTAAAACTGTACTTCCACTGGATTAGTTTCTGCTTATTTATGTATGTCATTGCTAACTATCATTGTTCACATATATAGATTTGAAATCATGTCCATGTTATGCTACTTCCTCGGGAGACACGAGAGAGAAATACTTGACTCGATCAAAGAAAGGGCTCTATAGTGGTTGCTTCTCTAGAAGCTAAAATCGACATAACCAAGTTTGAAATAGATCTTGTTGAGTCCAAGAAACAAAGAACCCAAAAAGGAAATGGTGGGGCTGCCGCAAGCCACTCAAGAGAGCTGATGAAGCGAAATCATTTGCTTAACTTTCTCAGCTTTTTCACAAGCAAAGGCTGGAGCCAAGTACACAGGAGAGTAGATTATTTGCAGCTCGGAAAAGAAAATGAAGCTGCTAAAGCTTCAGAGAGATATATGCCATTAAAGCCTTGCAAAGAGAGTGAATCTGCTTTGAAGGAAATATGACCAACTTAAAACTTAAAATGTAACACCAAAGTAGTTTAGCAACATTTCTAGAGATGTCTTTACTTGAAATCTAACAACGTAAGAGCCAGACACCATTGGAATTTCACATGGTTACAAACAGACTAGAATCCGAATTATACTAATGGTCAAATCACTTGCTTGCTTCATCTCTTGCTGGATATGCTGAAAGAACTGACTTTCATGGGAGTTGCAATGACCAGAGGCGCTTCAGGTGAACCAGAAACTGCAAAGTTGTCGTTCATGAAGCGGCTGTCCACAATAGATTCATTCCGAAGGACTACCTTGTAGCAGTAGCATTTCTTCAGCCCTTCCTGGTCTTGGTAGCATTCGTGAGCTCCATTCTTCACTTGCTGAAAGTTCCATATCACGCTGAATTTGCCAACCGTTGCCACCACATGACGCTCTTGTTTCCCATCCTCCGTCACCTATAAATATCAAAACACTAAGCAACTGAGGAACACTATAACCTGAACTGTGTGACAAACTGAAGAAGCCAAGACAACTTTTATTGTACAGGCAAATGTTCTCCTTTTGGGAACTACACTTAAACTAAGAAATAAACTTTCTCAATAATCAATTCAGACAGAAACACCTGCATAGTCACAAATCAAGCTACGGCTAAGGCACAAAAGAGAAACATTCTAGCAAAAAGAGACCTACTCTTTCAAGTGAAAAGAGGCAAAAAAAATCAGATAGAAAGCTCTGGTCTTAAGTGTGCAAGTAAAGACTTTCGCTTTACTATGAACAAAACATGCAAATATTGATGCGATTTATTTAGAGCAAGGATGTCACTTCTGAGAGCAAGGATATAAACAGCAATTAGAGTTTTGCTTACCCATGAAAACTGAGCATTGCGGAACTTGTTGTTAGCACCAGCTAAATGGGCATCGAGAGGTCTCAGCTTCAGCAACCTTGGTGCAGCAATCTTATTCCCCATGCGACCCTCAAATCCAGTCTTTGTCTTACCAGCCTTATCAGTGAACAGCGTACAGATAACAATCAGATAAGTATCAGTTGTACCAACTATCCACTTCCCATCGTAAGTAGCATCCACATGAGTCACAGGCGCACCAAGTCCAGGGAAAGCCGTCTTCGCCTGCCTCATAGTATTACTCGAGTAGAGTCTAATCTTCCCATCAAGAGAACCAACAACAATCGACCCATCACCAGTAGTTGCAAAGCACTGGAAGTTAGTCCCTCTAGAAAACTGATGCCCCTGTTGCCAATTCAAAACCGGAGCATTCGCAGTAGCAAGATCCTGAACCATCCCATACCTATCACGCATATCCCACCTGCAAAGCCTATTGTTATCCAAACCAAGAAAGGTCGACGCAGACGGATCCAGCTGAGCACCTTTACCATCATTAGTAATATCACTCATAGAGATATCAACTCCATCTTTCTCAAACTTCCACTCAGAGATAACCTTCCCTGTCTCAATATCAAGCTGATGAATCCCTCTGTTCTGACTCATGGGACTCATAAGCAACATGTTAGTCTCAGCTCTCATAAGCAGAGCCTTCCTCGGAGCTGAATGAACCCCACCAAAACCAGGCTCGAAGTTAACACAAACACCTTTCCCTTGAATCCCTTGCCTCATGTTCTTGAAAACCTGAATCCCAGAACCCCCAACTAAAAAGCTATTATCCAACGCACCTAGAGCTAAGCTATGTATCCCCTCACTAGTAGCTTCCTCAAAAGCCTCCGTGAGATCCTGCGTATCTCTCAACGGAGTAGCTCCCTGTGGACTCTTAAGCAGAATATCATCAGCGTCTTCCCACATGGAGTCATCAGCAGCTTCAGGGTTAGCCCAACCGATGAAATCTTTCCCAAAGATCTTAGCTTTACTCGCTTCGTTCAACTCAACTCCATGATTATTCTCAAACAAGCAGTTATTGTAACTGTTCACAAAGAGAGTGAAGTCTTCGATGGTACCGAACTTCAACGCCCAGACTCCTTTAGCAACGAAATCAACTCGGCGTTGCTCTCTATAACCTTTCAATTGCATCTCGTCGGAGACCTTTTCACGGATCTTGCTTCCTAATTTCAAAACCCACCATTCCTTCTCTGAATCTTGATTCACGTCTTCGTCTTCTTCGTCGTCGTCTACTTGGGAGGTTTTGAGGAAGGAGTAAGAAGAGAACTTTTCGGCGGTGACCCATTTGGCTTTGGGAGTGTTTCCGTTTATGTAACGGAAAAGCCTAGCGGAGTTTTGGGTGGATTGTGGTGGTGGGGCTTGTTGGGTTGAGGGGTATTTCAGCTTTAAAGCTCTGAGCTTTGATTCGACGTCGTTTAGGGATGATGAAGGAGATTTGGGACGGAGAGTGGAGGAGGAAGATGTCGCGAAGGTATCGTCTCTGGAGTCGACGAACTCGTCTTCTTCTTCTTCTTGGCCGTCTCTTCTTTCTTCGTACTCTTCGTATTCTTCCTCGTCTGATTCGCAGATCTCTAGATCTTCGTGGCTGTGAGCTGCTCCCATCTTGAAGAGTTGTAGAGAGAGAGAGAGAGAGGTGGAGAAGATCTGGGGAATGAAGGTGGAGGAGAAGAGCGCAAGTTTGAAATTTGAAAATTAGGGTTCTTTAAAGCAGAGTGTTACCTTTACACCACACTCAGATTGGAAATAACCGGCTACGGCCGGTAAATAGAGTTGTGGCCGTTCCCTATCCAGTTTCATTAGATACCGGGAATAGCCTGTTCATATAGATTAATTTTTTTTTTTGTCAACGTTCGTATAGATAATTTAGTTCCACAAATATTATTTTCAACGATTTGGCTCCATTTTGAAATAATACTTTTTTTTTGGCAACGAAATAATACTGTTTAAAAAAAAATATAAACTGTTTTTTTAAAAAAGATATTATAAAATGTTGTAAGTAGGGCTGTTCAATATGGTAATACCGAACCGAACCGAAATAGACAATATGGTTTGGATTTGGTATATACCATATAAACCGAATGGATATGATTTTATAAAAACCGTAGGATTTGGATATGGTTAGGTTTATAACCGATTAAACCGAATAAACCGAACAAAACCGATCAAAGAAAAAATATATAAATATATACATTATATAACCATTTATTTTCTTAGAATAGTCTTTTTTTTTTTACTTTTTATTCTTTGTGAAGATATATCTTAATAATTTTATTTTATTTTCTTCAGTTATTATCTAAATTTGATTTGATTTTGCATGTTGCAAGAAATTGTGAAATTAGATTGTACTATGTAATTTATTTAAGAAAAGCTGTACAAAACTGAATCGTTGGTGATTTTGTTTGTTGTTAGTTTCACATTTTTATATCTATGAATACCTAAGATTATTTTAATAAATGATAGTTTTGACAATATGTTTTTTTGAAATTCATATAATATGAAACCAAATCAAATAATAATGTTATATGGTATAAAACCGAATAAACCGAAAACCGGTAGTATAAATACCGAACCAAACCAAATTAAATATGGTTCCAATATGGTAGTTAATTTTTGTAAACCGAATAACCGAAAAACCGAAAAAACCGAACCGAAACCGGACCGAATACCAGATTGAACAGGCCTAGTTGTAAGCTACATCCGGTATATAAACCTAACCATTATTTGGATAATAAAATATCACTAATTACATAAACTACAGGGTTAATATAATGATATTCATCAAGTAACAATATTACTAAGCTTTTATCATTGAAACAAACGTTGAAATTTGGCAATGTTTAAATAAGAATTTAACCTTGTTCTTTTTTTAACAATTAGTTATGCATTACAAATTATGAAAAATATTATATACACGATATTATAGTCGACAATTCTACCTATCTGTCTTGCGCGAAGATCTTTTATTAATTTTTTTTTCCAATAATCTGCATAATTCGCCATTCACTTTCTCCAGAAATTAAAACTCAAATCTTTTGATGTAAAACCTTTGTAACCAGAAATTCAAACTCTAAATCTACTGTAGAAACTTTTAAACTTTTGCCACTATACCATGGTGATTCCACAACCAATTTTGTTCAGTATAAATTATTTATTTATAATTGATTTAGCTAGATTAGTTAAAGTGGGGTTTAGATTGTACCAAATGGTTTACAAGGATGCAAGTGTTGCTGCTTGTAGCTTGTGCCATGACAGTCGTGGCATGGCTTGTCACTAGCCATCGGGTGTTGAACAACGTGCTTGAGATCTCTATGTGTATTGCCTTTGCTAGATGCGTTAGATCATCTCCAATGGTATATCTAAGAAGGTTTTATCTCATGGTTATATCTAATTATATGTTCAAAATTAAATTGATAGACATAATTCTAAAAATAGAAATTTTGAAACCATCTCTAAAATATGTGTCACTATCTGATTGGTTAGTATTTTTAAGAAAAATAATATTTTTACATCCAGTTTTTCTCTTTTAAAACTTAGAATATTTAATTAGTTCTATCATTAGAAAACTTAAAATTAGAGGGATTAAACCTAAACAAATATCTAAAATTTTTAATCTAATTATATCCAATTAAAGATTGATTTCGAACTCTATCATATTTATTGTTGGAGATGGTCTTAGTCTTATGCTCATCTTGTATCTATTTGTATATGGCATATTCTGGGTTTCTTCTTTGTGAGATTCTTTGGTGCTAACATTATGGTGGTGTGGCTACCCAGCAAGCGTCAAACCCGGTTCATAGAGTAGCCAACAGTTTGAATCTTCCTGGACTGCAGTTGATCACAAAGAAACTGTAACTACCATTCCAAGGAACCTATTGGGGGTGTGAGTGCCTCAGATTTCGTGATGCTTGGTTCTGGTAACATGGCACAGATCAAACCCGTTATTATTCACGTCCACTAACTGTATAAAACGTTTTTAATGTCAGAATTTAACTGTTTTGTTTGTTTTAGTGGAGCTTATTGGTTCTAATATTTTATAGATTCAAAAAAAAATTTGGATTTTGAAATTTTTTTTGACAAATTCACACATTTTAGAATCAAATAAAAAGATATCTGAATCAATGAAATAGATTTCAAGATCAAAATAATTGAATTATTATAAATCAGTCAAATAGATTTAAACTCAGTTTTGTAACAAAATAAAAAGAATATATATATATATATATATAAAACTACAACATATGTTTTATCATTTTCTAAATCATATGTTATTATGATAATATAAAATCTGTCACATATTTGTTGTTATTGTCGTTCTGATCACTTGATTAGCATGTTCGTTGAACTTCGGTTCCAAAAATTTCTTTACTCTTGTTATTAACTTTCTCAGGATCTTCTTCATCATCATAACTTTTTTATTCAAACAAACTATCGATTTGTCAAAACTTTTGAAGAAAACTACGTAAACCAGCACATGCAAATATTCTCTCCGTTTATGTCTTATAAGGAAAAGAGGATTATAAGGAAAATGGGACGTACATTTAAAAATGAAAAATCAAGATTTCAATATACCCAAAATTCTTTCGATAACATTCGTTAGAAAAGTATGATGATAGTTAAACAAGTCTTTGTCATTTTATGGAGTAGAATCTACGAAAACTCTTGTAAACCAAAATTCTTATGAGAGATTTTTGGTACATTTTTATATTAACATCTACATGTAAGTAAAGCTAGATCAGAGATGGTTGGTTAATATAATTATATGTTCTACTACTACGTATATGTTAATATAACATAGAGATGGTGAAACTTGATGGTTGTTTTAGACTTTCATATCAGTATTTGTTTCTAATTATTAGGAAAACATGGATAATATACTCGTAAAACTTGGGACATGAAAAAATATATTAGGAAAACCAATAATACATATCTACCAAAATAACAAGGTTCAACTCAATATTTGCTTCTTTATATTTTAACTCATAAATCCTCTCAAATCTGATTTTAAATCAAATCATTATGCAAATTATTATTATTATTATTAAATAACACCTAATTTTAAAATCTATTTTAAAATCATAGAATCAATAACGGTGAATTTTAAAATAGATTTTAAAATTATAGAACCAATAACAATAAATTTAAATATAAATTTTAAAATAATAGAACGAAAATAATATTATATTTGATTTGTATTTTCAAATCCAGTAAAATATACAAACCAATAAGTCAATAACACCCTCTTAGGCTATTCCTGCAATGCTTTCGGCTTTGAACATCAGATTCAGTACACTCAGCCCAAATATAAATTCATCTTGGCTCATTTCCAAAAGCCCGCTCAAGTTAACTCGTCGACCTATACGGCTACTCTTCACACCAAGTTCTTAGAAAAGAATATTACGTCAAGAAACCCAAATATTTTCCTGATTTGGCAAAAGAATATAAAAATGTGTCTTTTCAAAAAACAATATTAAAAAAGGTTCTAGGCTAACTCTTCTTGTCCTTACCAGATAAGGAGTGGACAATGTAGCACTAGAAATTCTGCTATGGTAACATTCAATTATAAAGTGAAATCGACTTGCGAATACATCGAAATTACTAACCAAACTCTCTTGTCCCATTTCCATGGATGTTGCTAGCTAATGGAAGCCAGCTACGTGTCTCGCTTTCTCGTTTGACTAAATTTTTTTTAGGTTCACTTCAATCATGCATGCATCTTTGAGTTCACTTCTTAATTTTGTGTTAATATCTCATAAACTTAACGCTGCAATTAGTTTTGGTCGACAACTACTATTCTTTGCAGAGCTCGTTTGGGCTTGAGTTCTCAAATCATCATGTTTACGTTTATGTTCCTTTGGCATCATAAGCTCTAGTTACGTTGGTTATACGCTTTTCATAATTTAGCTTAAGAATTCTCTGATTTGTAGTGAATTACACATTCATATTAAAATCCTATTTAAACAAGTTTTGTTTTGTTTTTTTTATAAAACATGCACATTAGGCCATTCATTAAGATGAAGTAATTGTAAGTTTAGTTTCACTATGAACATAACTTGATAAGAGTAAACGGGAATGCACAATAGACCACACTCCCATCATGGGCCCTATGTATTATTAAAAATTTTGGGTTTACATGTTCGATGTTCCAACCACTCCAATATAAGGCGTATCTAATGGGTTGATTGTTTTGAAGGATAACAATAGAGACTTTGGGGAAGTCACACACAAATTTACTGAAAAGATTATAAATATATTGAATTTAACCAAATAAAAATTAATGTTTTTGGAACCGATAATCCAATTAATAGCTGGAACCGGAACTATTTTGAGGTCAAATGGATCTTGGATATGTAACTAAATTCGAACCAAATCCGACTAAATCTAAACCGAAATCCGACTCAGAATTTTATATATTCAAATGAGACTGGAATTCATGAACCCGAAAAACTGAAACCTGAATAAACCTGCACCGAAATCTGATTGGGATCCCGTTTAGCTGCCTTACCCTACTCTCCGTTGCACCCAATGGTGGATCTAAATAATTTATATCCGAAACAAAATTATAAAGCCTTGTTAATACCTTTATAAGTTTGACTATTCAACATGAGAATTATTTAAATTATATACGAAACAACACTAAATAATAAAATTCATGGTGGGCAGCTGCCCCACTCGTAGCATAGCTTCGCCACTGGCTGCACTCATTGCATTTCAATCTTTAGTGTGAATCCATACTATATATATATATAAGGGATAAGTGATATACACTAGCTTATATATGAACCTATAGTATTAAAAAGGCTTTTGAAACAGTATATATCACGGTTGGGAGGTCATTTAAGATATGAGATATAATAAGATGGTTAGGGCAAATTTATTGAGCGTGGTTATGCTTATGCATGCAATTGTTGGGCTTCCTCATAACGCGAGGGGCTTAAGTATGAGTTACTACATGAAGAGCTGCCCTACCGCAGAGCACATTGTGAAGAATAGTGTTAACAATGCTCTTCAAGCCGATCCCACTTTAGCCGCAGGTCTTATCCGTATGCTCTTCCACGACTGTTTCATTGAGGTAACATTTTCTCGTAATCTATAATTATGTTTTCTAAGTACGTACATAGAAGAACCCTAATACAAGTTTTCGAAAACTAGCTTATTTGTTTTCTCAGAAAAAAAAAAACTGACATATTTGTTTGTCCTATCAAGGGATGTGATGCGTCGATCCTGCTAGATTCAACAAATGACAACACTGCGGAAAAGGATTCGCCTGGTAATCTGAGTCTACGTGGCTACGAGATCATAGATGATGCAAAACAAGAAATCGAGAATACTTGTCCAGGAGTTGTATCTTGTGCAGATATACTTGCCATGGCTGCTAGAAATGCTGTTTTTTGGGTAAGCTGATCAAGATCGATCATTGGTGATATATATATATATATATATATATTTATTATGATGATGAAGAATTATATATGTATTCTTAAAAAGAATTTGTAAATGGGTTTTGTTCATTAGGCTGGCGGTCCATATTATCAAATACCCAAAGGAAGATTTGATGGTAAGAGATCGAAGATAGAAGATACAAAAAATCTTATTCCGCCTTCTTTCAATGCCTCTCAACTCATTCAGGCTTTTGGCCAGCGTGGCTTCAGTCCTCGTGATGTTGTTGCTCTCTCCGGTAAGTTGTTTATTTATAACACACTTGGTTCCATTCCATGTAATCATTATATATCCACAACTTATATTAGCTCAATAAATGTTGATAATATAAGCTCAATAAATAAAGAAAAAATAGAACAGAAACATATAAAGAAATAGCTAGGTCAATGAAATATTTTTATTAGTTTAAATTATAACGTTACGTTCAAAATATAAAATTTAATATGATAGTTTCTAAAATATAATTAGAATGACCCTAATACAAAATTAAAATAGTTTTAAAAGTAGCAGAATATTACAATAAATCCACAATTACTACTAATTTTAATGTAGTTCGGTTCCAAAATATATTATATTAAAAGAGAAGTCATGACTCACTTCATGTGTGATTTTTTAGTTTGGACCATCATTAAAAATTTTATAAAATTTTACATAAGATCCTTATAATATTTTTTTCTATCTTAAATTTTTATTTGAAATACAAATATATAGTTTTAAGAAGATTCTACCAAAATCTTTTAAAAATCTTTTAGAATATTTTTAATATATAGTTTCAAAAATTATTTGATTAAATTTTTAATTATCATAAAATATAATTAAAATTGTAACTCATTTTTTTATAAACAAAAAAATAAAATTATGTAAAATAATTTTAAGAATATCCCAAAATTTTGTTTATGTATTTATGTAGGTCCAACTTAATTTACTTTTTACATATATTTCAAATTTAGAAATAAAAAAATACAAATTAGTAATGTTACATAATAATGTTTTCAAAAATTGTTACAAAAAGAAAAAAATTATAAATTATAAATTAATAATATTATAAGCCACATAAATGTTTTTATAAAATTGGATAGATACATAATCAAATTATATTTATTTATTGATATATTTTACTCCCTCCGTTTTTTAATATATGATGTTTTGGATCATTGCACAAAGATTAAGAAATTTACATTCCTTTACAAAATTATTTTTAAAGATATAATTTTAAAATCATTCAATAAATTATTAAAATACAATAAAATTTTATTGGTTGAATAGTTTCCAATAAAGTTAAAGGCAACCTTAAAACTTCAAAATATACCGTAAAATCTCAAAACGTCTTATGTTTTGAAACAAAATAAATCTTTTAAAACATCATCTAAATTGAAACAAAAAGAATATTATATAATTTTAAATATTCATATTAAAATATCTACACGGTTGTGCGGGTCGAGATCTAGTTTTAAGATTAATTCTTAAGTCATTTAGGAAGGGTTCCAAAACGTTCCTAAATTCTTAGTATATTTGTGGTGTTATTAGAATTCTGATGGTAACAAATATAAATGAGAATATAGCTTTAATTATTAACTAATGAAAAATTCCTAAATACAATTTCAAAATCTTAAAACCAGTTTGCTAGAACGACATCTACTCTATTAAAATAGAGTCATTCTTTTTATCTACTGATACAAATTGTTATTTAAATTTGGACCCTTTATAGAGTATTACAAATATGTAACACAAGCCATATAATTAATTAAACCAAATTACTTAAATTAAACCGATGGTTATTTATGATATATAGTCTTGGGCTTACTTTTGTTTTGAGAACAAATTATATAGTTTGGTTTTTGGGTTTAGTATTAAGGAAAAACTCCAAAAAAGTTGAATAAACTTTACACCTTAATAGATAAAAAAATAAATTATAATTTTTAGGCCCAAAAAATATTTAATATTTTTAATAAAACAAAATTATCTATTATTAATCATTTATTTAAATCATGTACTTTAAAACATTTTAATGTATTTTTATTTTAAATAACAATCACTTTATTTTGATAAATTTCAATGATAACTTTTAAATAATTTATTGTTTTATTTTTCTTAAATAATTTACTGATTTAAAAAAATGTAAAGCAAAAACAAAAACCAAATCTAAAACTCAAAAGCTGAAAGCACAAGTTATATTTTTTTGCTTTTGTTTATTTACAAAATAAACTATTGCGAATTTTTTTTGTCATCTTTTCAGTTTTAAATTAGATGTTCGATTATTTAGAATTTGTTTGTTGGTAATATCAGTTCAAACTAACTCAACGGATCTAAAAATTAAAAACACAAACCAAAAGCTGAAAATCAAAAATAGAAACTTAAAAACTAAAAACCAAAATCTAAAACAAAATCTAAAAATAAAAACTAAAACTAAAAACTAATGAAAACAATCATCACCACAAATTTTGGTGAACTGATTTTATACCAAAACATTTTGTAAATTAAGATAAAACCCAATTATATAAATTTTTAATCATAAAAAATTTCCGCGCTTTCAAGTGCAGGTCAAAATCTAGTTTTTAATTGTTTTACGGACTGAAATTATTTATTGTTTACATTTATTAGTTAATTTTTTTTTTGTTACTAAAATTATTTCATCGGCCAAAAAGGTAGTATCTCTTTCGTAAAATGCAAAAAGTTAGTAAACATAATTACCTTACATTTGAAAGTTAAACTTTTTTGTTACTAATGATTATTTCACTGGTCATCATATATATATAAGAAAACGTTTTGGCTGCCAATTTAATTTGTGAAATACATATATATAGGAGCACATACCCTTGGAGTTGCTCGATGCTCATCCTTCAAGGCTAGACTTATCACCCCAGATTCTTCAGTGGACTCTTCTTTTGTAAACACTCTCTCTAAAACTTGCAGTGTCGGTGACAATGCAGAGCAACCACTTGATGCCACACGCAAGTATTTCGACAATGCTTATTTCAATGCGCTTCAGATGAAATCAGGAGTTCTCTTTTCAGACCAAACCTTATTCGACACTCCAGTGACCAGGAATCTTGTTAATGGATATGCTTTTAACCAATCCAAGTTTTTCATTGATTTCCAAAAGGCCATGCGCAAAATGAGTAAGCTCAATGTCAAAAATAGCTCTCAAGGTGAAGTCCGTAAACATTGTCGCTGTCTTAACTAAGCCTGGGCCAAATGTACTTATGATTTTCTGTACCAGTGCACTCCACCTTTGGTTATATGTACGTATCTCTATGATATGATTCATGATGAATCACTTGTGCACCATGTAAAAACTTGGTGTTCGTAATATATGTTGTTGTGTACTTATTGTTTGTCTGTTTCACATATTTAATAAAAACGTCTGACGTTTGTCTATGTATTCTCTATCTATGTATATGGCTGAGAAGAAGGGATGGTATCTAGATTAATTGTATATTAGGTAGGTGGGAAGGAAACATGCTGGAACTTCCGTTTGATGTAGAAAACGAGATCTTGCAGAGTTGCGGTGAAACCTCTGCGTACTTTGGAACTGGTTTAGAAAGGTTATTCTCAAAATCAAAATATCTAAGAGCATGTGCATTAAAGAACTTGGGGTCAGGTTCATAAAAATATTTTTTTATTATTATTTATTTTTATTTTTTTCTATTTGATTTAATAAAAAAATAGACCACTCGTGGGCTGCCACGTGGCGTGGAGCCCACAAAATAATGGTGATATCAATTCACGCTAGAGAGCTCCTATGACTCGAGTTCACTACTATTATATTATTTTAATATTTTCTTTTTTTGGGAAGAGTGTGAACTTTCCTTAAAATTCATCAATGTATATGCTCTAAAGACTGATTCCGTGTGTTCGGAAAATTATTGACATAAAACTCGGTAGTGGAACAAGAAAAACAGACATGATACATATTCATCGTACATTTTATCCTTGTTAATAAATTATCTAGCTATGAGCCTATGACTATTAACTTGTTAAGTGATCTTTAGTTAAATAACTTCACTGTTTGGTTTTTGCATGCATGTGTATATATGTTAACATCTACCAGTACGCTTTATGCGAGTGTGTTTCCTTATTAGGCTTTGGGAGAGACATAGTGACCAGAGATTATAAATTTGTTCAGTTTTTAGCTTTCAAATATCCCTTTTCACGTAAACGTTATAACTTACAAACCCAACCTGAATCTTCATAAATACATATGGATCAGCATAAACTAAACCCTTAATAAATACATAAGAAAAATAAAGACAAGAAAAAGCATTCGTGTTACGAATCTTTATCTTGGACCTGAAGGATAATCGTTTTCAATGTGGGAAGTGGAATCACCAATGAGCCAGGAAGTGTTTGGTTGATTATAGTTTTGGTAATTGAAATCTTGTCTGAACACTTCCTCCTTTTGCCACTCTTCCCATCTCTCAGCTAAACCATCTCCTTCAAGCATTCTCACAACTTCAGACATTTTTGGTCTTTCCATTGGTGAGCTTTGAGTGCAAAGCAGAGCCACTTGTATTAGCTTCTCCACTTCTTCGTCTATGTAGTTACCCTGAAGATCCACATCTACTAGTGCTTCCAGCTTCTTCTCTTTCAACAACCCTTTCACCTGTTGATTGATACCAAACAAACACTTTTAACTAACACAAATAGAAGCAACTATACAAGTGGGAAACGCATGAATATATACCCAGTCCAGTAACATGACATCATCATCATTGGCGAGCCGAGCAAGATCGAAAGCCCTTTGTCCAGTAATGAGCTCAAGAAGCATGACTCCATAACCAAACACATCTGTTTTCTCTGATGATTTTCCTGTAGAAAGATACTCAGGTGCTATATGACCAATTGTGCCACGCACTGCGGTTGTCACATGTGTGTCCTTGTAGTCCATGAGTTTTGCAAGTCCAAAATCTCCGACCACAGCTTCAAAGTCTTCGTCCAACAATATATTTGCAGCTTTCACATCTCTATGAATGATCTTTGGGTCACAGTGATCATGTAAGTATGCAAGCCCCCTTGCTGATCCCAACGCTATACGCTGTCTCTTTGGCCAATCAAGTGGTGGTTGGGACTCTGGACGATCTATAAGGAGAAGATGAGAATATAACATTACTCAAAGATCAACGCGTAGACAAGTCAAACATTGACCTATGACCCCCAAATTTTAATAAATAAAAAAAGAAGCTCCTAAATTTGTCCAAACTTTTTTTTAAATAAATGCATGTAACCCCCAAAATCTCAGAATCTTGAGCAATTGAGAGGACAAGGAAGAAGCTACAAGATGAGAGAGATACCTCTTAAACAAGATGCAACACTTCCATTAGCCATGTAAGGATAAACAAGTAATCTTTCTGTTGGAGTCATGCAGAAACCACGTAGCCGAAGCAAGTTCCTATGAACAGCCATGCTGATCATCTCAACCTCGGTCTGGAACTGTAGTTCACCACCTTGAGTACGCTCCTCTTTTAGTCTTTTAATAGCCACTAAAGTACTATCAGCTAACCTTCCTTTATAAACTTTACCAAAACCACCTCTACCTAATATGTTCCTGTTGCTGAAATTATCCGAAGCAACTTGTAGTTCACGTAATGAAAACCTCTTGAGTTGTCCTAAATGAACCTCAGGGTCCTCTTCAGCTGCGAAAAAGACAGTAACAAAACATAAAACTCAGCCAAAGTAGTGTCAGTGATAAAACAGGCCATGGAAGTTTTCTCTAACCTGGTACATCAAAGAAGTGGTCTTGTGGCTTTTTCCTCCGCCACAAAGCAAGTGCAATGGCTGGAACAGCGAACAGAAGTGCAGCACCTGCAGCAACTCCTCCAGCAATTGCTCCAGTGATTCTATTACTCCCTGCATGTATGATATCAACAACTCAATTCTTAATACATAACTCTTTGAATGGTTTCTTAATAAGTTGACATAGAGAAAACGAAGAACCTGCAGGTGGCGGTGTAGGAGAGAGAGGAGGCGGCGGAGAAGCAGGAAGGGGAGTCAAATTGGTATTGGCAAAACTGCAGATAAATTTCAAATAATTAACCAACCGTTCTAACATGTTCACAAAGGTTTAAGTTAGGAGCAAGAGGCAGAACCTGATAGGTGTGAAAAGTGAGAAGGAACCATTAACAGGAATATCTCCAGTGAGAGGATTGTTGGACAGATCCCTGCATTTCAAGATGATATCATATTCTTACTTAATACCAAATAATAATCAGAAAAATGAACACAAAGGCATTAGGGAAGAGACAAAAGTTACACTCACAGAACTTGCAGTGACAAGACAGCAGTCAAAGATCTTGGGATTTCTCCAGATAAGCTATTGTTATTAAGACGCCTAAACACCAATAGCAAAAGACATTAACAAGTAGGAATAGCTTTTTTTTAGGGAAACGCTAGACAATAACTAGGCTGCTCATTAACAAAAACGGTAGTAAGAGAAGAGTGTTGGTTGCATACAAGAAACGGAGTTTCTGTAGTCGGCCAAGAGATTTTGGGATGGGACCGCTTAGATTGTTCAAGTAAAGATCCAAGCTCACCAATTCCGTCAAGTTTCCAAGCTGCTCTGGTATTGTCCCAGTAATGTTATTGCTATAAAGCTCCCTGTGTCATTACACTTACAAAACTTATAAAAGCTATTTCACCTAGAAACCATGTTTAAGAAGAGATGAACTTACAAGTACTGCAAGTTTGGGAGCTGACCAAGCTGCATTACTAGTTGACCAGATAGATCCGCATTCCCAAGGTCACTGAGCAAAGATGAAGACCAGAATATTCTTAGTAGGCAACATTCTTGACGGCCAGAGAGACAGAAAGAAAAGAAAAGAAACTTACACACGTGTGACACTATTGTCACTATTGCAAGTAACATGAAACCATGTACAGGGAGTAACAAGAGTAGCATCCCAACTCTGAAGCACCTTGTTAGGGTCTGCTAAACTATTCTTCAGAGCACTCAAAGCATCACCTGAGGTTTTAACCAAAAAAAGAATTTAAAAAAAAAAACACTTTCTAACCTTTGCAATCAATTAATTACACAACATAACTCTGCAAAAAAAAGCAACAAACAATGATTCTTTTTAAGCAAGAACAGAGAAACCCTTAATAAGAAAACTGCTTATACAATAACTAATCGAAGAGGAAGCAGACCTTCTGCGTTGCCTGATACTTTGAAAACCAAATCGAAAACAAGAAGCAGCCATAAGAAGCTAGGTTTCATCATTTCCTCAACAGATTAAAAACGAAACCTAGAGCTCTCCTTCATAGGATCTTGAATCAATGAGAAAAGCCCTTGACGCGTATTCAACCGTTGACTTTAATTTTGAAGAGAAGACCCCCTAAATCGATAAACAAACACTCTTAGCTATATTTTTCCCCCGATTTGAAAACGCCGAGATTGCTGACCGTTGACTACTAAACCGGAGAAATAAGATTGAGAGAAGAAAACGTAAGAGGAAGATGATAGAAACAAGTTATCGGAAGAAGAACGAAGAATATTAAAAGAAAAGATTTATTATTACAAAGACAAGTAAATGTGAAAGACTCAAAGCCAAAGAGTTTATACTTGTCTGAGTTGGTACAGTGAAAATTAAAAATGACAGTTAATGCAAAACTAGGAAAAGGACAAAAACTATGCTGACGTGGAGCGTTTCAAGCTCTTTTTAGGTGGTCAAAGTCAAACGCGCACGACTTCAACTGGGAATGATGTTGGTTATGTTCGTATCGTGTTCGTATCATATGATGAAAAGCATGATGGTGAATGGTGATACCACCCACCATCATTAATATTATTATCACTAGTTGCATACTCCCCGTGCAAGCGCGGAGCCGGAATCATTATGTTTGCATGTATTTTTTTCGATTGTTGGTTTAGTGGATTCTTCTAATGATACCAAATAATAATGAAATGGAAAGAATATAGTAAGAGTGTAAAGTGAAAATATTGTATATCTAATGTGTTAAATGTTATTTATATGCGAAGTAAGGTTTATAAGAATAGTTAGGCTATGATATAGTTTTTAGTGTGTAAAAGTAGTTGTCTTTTTTTTTTTACTGTAAATAGTTTTATATCGTATGTCAAAACTTGATATAATTCTATATTTATAGTATTTATATTTGTATTAAACGATTTATCAATTTGAAAATAACCTTAATTAAGTTAATATTTGTTGTTTAAGTTTCATTAGATAGGTTTTTGTATATGCTTTTTTGTAAGTTTGGTTTTGTTCATAAATGATGTGGCATTTTTATCTACGGAGTCATCGACTGTGGGAATGCATTCGCCGAAGTCTGGAGTCAGTGGTGAGAAATGTTTTCAATGAAATTATAGTAGTTATTAAAATGTAAGAGAAATTACATATTCATTTAATAAATAAGGAAAATACTTAAATTTTGTTGTTTATTTTATTTTATTTCACATACAAATTTTTTGAAATATATTAGGAATGTGTTAAATGTTATTTATATGCGAAGTAAGGTTTATAGGAATAGTTAGGCTATAATATAGTTTTTAGTGTGTAAAAGTAGGTGTTTTTTTTCTGTAAATAGTTTTTATATCGTAGATCAAAACTTGATATAATTCTATATTTATAGTATTTATATTTGTATTAAGCGATTTATCAATTTGAAAATAACCTTAATTAAGTTAATATTCATTGTTTAAGTTTCATTAAGTAGGTTTTTATATATAGTTTTTTGTAAGTTTGAGTTTTGTTCATAAACGATGTGGCATTTTTATCTACGGCGTCATCGACTGTGGGAATTCATTCGCCGGAGTCTGGAATCGGTGGTGAGGAATGTTTTCAATGAAATTATAGTAGTTATTAAAATGTAAGAGAAATTACATATTCATTTAATAAAAAACGAAAATAATTAATTTTTGTTTTTTTTTTATTTTATCTCACATACAAATTTTTTGAAAATATATATTAGGAAATATGTGCAATGTTTTAACTTTTTGAGCTCTTAATTTATATTATTGAAGCCTCATTAAGCCATCCAATAGGCAGCCGCGTGGAATTCATTTTTTTTTTGGTGTGTTCATTTTTGGATTTATTTTTTATTATTTTTGAGCTGAGCTATATTATAATAGGATAGTTTTAAGGTTCTTTAAGCCATCCGCGTAGCTAACCGCTTGAGACTTACTTTTTTTTTTATTGTTCGTTTTGGATTCATTTTTAACTATTTTGGGTTTAAACATGTTAAGATTTAGGGTTTATCCAACTATTTTGATCTTTAAAACAATAATCCCAAAAAAACATAAAAATTTTATAAACAAAAAGCGCATATGAAATAACCCAAATAAGAAAATCAAAAATACATGCTAGCTATGTGGTTTGAACCCACAATCTTACATACTTAGTTAAACACTTTATACCACTTGGATAAAGTGTATTTCATTGTTTATGATCATCTTACAAAGACTATGAGTGTTTAAAAAATACCTACGGACCCATAAAATTGCTGAATAGATCATTAATTAAAGACATGTATCTAAAGGGTGAGTCCAAATCGGCCCAGCTCAGTTTCTTGAGGCTCTGTTTGTTTTGTGGGCTCTAGATGAAAGCCTAGTCCAGCTACAATATTTGGATTTTCATGAGAAAATAAAACAAAAACTTTAGATTTATAGTTTGCAAGAAGTTACACTTATCTTCTGGAGAGTATATATTCTGCTTTATGCAGATTATTTATTGTTTCCCAGTCACAAAAATTATATGATCACATCGAAATAATTAATATTATATATGAAACTGGTTTTAATTAAGCACGTCCGTAAAGCCAGCAAGGAGAAAACGATTTGTGCTTTCCCCCAACACCATGCATATACTGTATGTGTGTAGCTAGTGACGGTCATGTAACTAATCCATTAAAAATATCATAAACAATATGCTTTCTAATACAAGCTCCCAATTAAATACAGAATTTCAAGCTTTAGTTTACAAGTTAAACTAGCTCGTACCCAAATATGTATTATATTCACTTAGTAGATTTGCATCTCCTTGTGTATAAATACGCTCTATAATATAAATATACAGATTTGTTACATGAATCTGTAAGAAACATCAAGTCTATGCATTATACTAACGATAAAGACACATGATACATATATATGCATGCGTACATACCAATTCAACTGCATGTGATACACATACATATAGATATGGATGGAAAACGAGAGTTGTAACTGATTTCCATATGAGATTTTTAGGAAGTAAAAGGCTGAAAATGATACCTAACCCTAATGATAGATACCCTTAAGATCACTGAGTTGTGACATTATATCCTAAGAAACTAATCCAACTCCAAGAAAATCAATGAAAGTAACATTTTTCTTCCCATCATCATCTCTCATGGATGGTCCATCTTCACCTGATGAGTTCTTCTGATCTGGTGTAGCTGCATGTAATGCGTAATTGTGATGATCCACCAACTCTTTCGACTTGCTTCGCTCCGGATAAATTTCTTTGTGTATATTGGAGATAGATGATGATCCAAACTGATCATCTTTAGGTGCTGAAACAAAAGTGTAGGGCCAAAGACCGTGACTCTTGTCCTTTTGAGGCGTCCATAGTTCAAACTGGGATCTATTTAGCCTTGTTAGATTAGAACTATGGCTCAAGATATTATGCCAACTTTGGTTGAACGTAGAAGTGGCCGTTGAAGAAGAGCTCTCACGTTTACGTCTAGCCATGATGACATGGAAATGGTTTTTGACAGCGTTATCGGTCCTCCCGGGGAATATTCGGGCTATAGAGGCCCAACGATTCCCCTGGAACTGATGAGCTTTGAGAAGTCTCTCCTCTTCTTCCTCGGTGAAAGCTTTCTTGGTGATGTTTGGATCAAGTTGATTGTACCATCTCAATCTACAGCTTTTTCCTGTGAATCCACATCACGCAATTATATATAAAACACATAGATATATCTAATACGACTTCATAAGAAATAGATATATTTTTTTTTTGGCTAAGAAATAGATATATAAAAAGATGAATATGAATATGAATATATACCTGATCTTCCGTAGAGATGTTGAGCAATGAAATTCCAGTTCTTAGGACCATATTGTTCCACGAGTTGCCGGAGATTGTCGTCTTCGATAGGTCTCCAGTGACCTCTCTGACAACTTAGTTTCTTATTGTCAAAACTGTTGCTTCCTCTAGACATTTCCATGGATGCTATCTCTATCTCCACCTACATCAAACTGAGCAATTGTTGAAGAAAGATGAATAAATGAGAATAGTCTAAGGTGAAATGATAAAAATGCTGAAAACTAAGACGTAAGAAAGAAAAATAAAGGAATATAAAAGAGGGGGTTGGTCTTGGTTCTCTTCTCTAGGGTTATAGATGATAAGTCACTTTTATTCTTTTTACAAGACACCCTCTCCTTTTTATATATTTTTATGCTTATTAATTATTATACTCATCTCTACAGAAAAGTTATTCTTTTGTAAAACAAATTATTTCATTTCACTAGTCCGTGCTTATATACCAACATGATCCTTTATGTACCATTCACTTTGGGGGCATGAATACAAATCTAATGATCTTGATGATTATGACTCAAAATATGTAAATTGTTCGCAACCACCTTGCATTGACGATCATTCTTATGATACTTCAAAAATATGATTTATTTGGTTGCATGCCATCTCATTCTTCTGATCACTACTAGGGAAATTCTTTTTTTATTTTCTAAGATGCAAGCAGCTGTAAATCGATTATAAAAGAAAAATAACAAATTCTTACGTCTTTCTAAAATTTGTAAGCAAAGAGTTATTATCACTTAAAGTTTTTGAAGTTCATAATCTTTGTTTTCTTTTTATCTACAACTTATACATAGATGGATTAGAATCCGAGTTTGATGTCGCATGTTGAGTACCATCTTAAAAGTCATGTTGTTCAGGTATCTCACTTTGACCAAGTAAATGAGTATGGTCAAAATAGGGGGCACACAACTTTCTATAAATTCATATAACTTTAGTTATATTATATAATATTTTACAAAAGCTCAGTAACTTTTCCAGTTTTCATTGCCTCTCTATGTATGCTATTGCTACAACTGTTTTTATTGAGAAAGGAAAAAAATACGTGACAGAGAAAGTTAAAAGGCTTGCCAACTGAAGGGACTGAGATTACATGTTTCCATCTGGTATACTATCTTTTTCGGTGTTTTGCTTATAATAGTTTGACGTGTCTTTTGAGATGATCATGAATGTGTTGATGCATCGAAACTTAAATCACTTCCAAAATCAACAAGTATAATATATAGCGTCTTTTGAGATGTTAAGAATGTGTCGATGCATCGAAATCCAAATCACTTCTAGAACCAACAAGCATAACACATAGATAACTAAACACGATATTCAGTTTCTCAATGTGGCATGATGCGGTCTGAACGAAGTTTGTATTCTAGTGCCGCTTGTGGATCCAAAGTTGGGCACCAATGTGATTGTGTGAAATGTATGTGTTGGTATTACGTTGAAACCGAAACTTCAGAGGCTCAGAGCTATGATATGACCACATGAATTCTGAATCAGGACTATGTTACCAAGAGCCGCTTGTATAGGACACCCTAGTGTCCTCATTGAAGGTGCAAAGATTAGGTAGATGTTCTGATGCAGACGTAAGTATAGCAACGAATGGAGCAGAATCTACGATAATGAGTATGCATGCGGATGAACAAGATGAAATGGAGATCAAAATTTAAAGGATGACTTAGCGATCAAATTGGAGTTAATACGAAAACTACTTGAAAGACAAGCATGAAGAGATCCACCTTGCAGAAGAGAGATTTCACTATGGAAAGTTCATAATATATATATAGTCATAGACTAAATTTTAAAGAACTTACCATATTTGGAGATTTAGTAAATATTGGGTAGATGTCTGTGTTAGCCGAACTCACTATAATATATATATAGTCATAAAACCAATGTGTATTAATTTTCACCAGAATTGTATTCTTAACATAGGAGTGGATTTCCTAAGAGCATCTCCAAAAGACACTCTATAACTTCAATTTGAAGTGGGCGTTCGGGTACCCGTTCGGGTTTGGATCGGTATTTCGGGTTTTCAGGTATTTCGGTATTGGGGTTTAGAACCCGTTCGGGTATTTTTACATATCGGGTCGGGTTCGGATATTTTTAGTTCGGGTTCAGTTATTTCGGGTCGGGTTCGAATATTTAGATTTTGAAAGAAAAATGTTAAATTCTTAATTACTTAAGTTTCATGTATTTAAAATTTAACTATTAACTTAACTGTTTTTTAAATGTTTAATAAGTTAGACGATTAATAAGTTTGAAAATAAATTATTGAAAATAAAAATCATTATTTTGGTTATTATTTTTGAATTTTGGATGCAAATTTTGTTTAAAGTATGAAATAAGAAGCTTAACATGCATTTTAAATGAGTAACAAATCATTTTTTTTACAATTATATGTATATTATCTGATATTAAACTATATATAACATTAATATAAATAGTTTTAATAAAATGAGACAAAATAAACTAGGAATAAATAGGTATATATACATATGTTCGGTTATCTTCGGATACCCGTTCGGGTTCGGGTATTACCCGTTCGGGTTCGGATATCCAAACTCTCCTAACTCAATACCCGTTCGGGTATTTTGTTACTTCGGTTTGGATTTCGGTTCGGATATTTCGGGTCGGATTCGGGTACGAGTTCGGGTATCGGATAAAGTGCCCACCCCTAACTTCAAATATGAAGTTTTTGCCTCTCTAAAAAGGAACTCTAAAACTTCAAATTTGAAGTTTTGAGTAGTGAAACTTCAAATATAGAGTGTCACTATTCAAAACTTCAAATTTGAAGTTTCATATTTTATTTGCATTTTGGTCCTTACAACTAGACATCATATTTATAATAATCTTAAATATTTTATTATTTATCATTTTAATCTTAAAAATTCTTATTTCATAAATAATTCAAAATTATTTTTATAATTTAAATTTTATATATTTTTAAAAAACATCAAAATAATCTTTAAAATATTTTAAAACTAGAACTAGACAACAACAATATTACATGATATAATGTGGTATTTGGTTTGTACTTTAATATTTAATTATATATTTCTCTTTATAGTTTTATATTTTAATGTAACATTTTATAAAATAATATTTTTATGAAATTTTATACATGATAGTTATTTATAAAAGTTTTATGAATTTGAATTAGTTATGACAAATATAAGGACTATTATATAAAATACAAATAGTTTTAAAGTTATGTTTGAAGTTTTGCTTTTGGAGTATAAAACATTCAAACTTCAAATATAGAGTTTTGCAAACTCTATAATAGAGAGTCCTTTTGGAGATGCTCTAAGCTTGTAAACGAATGAAAACACTAGGGATACGGGGAGAAGTTATAGAGATATTGCATTTGATCTTAGGATGTGTGAGGCTAGGACAACAAGACAAGAAGATCTTGACCTTATTGGAATTCTGTTCAAAGAAAAATTTATATGTTCACTTTTTAAAAATACTAATATATACTTTGTGCTAAACAACTCAACAAGACCGAATACTGCTGTTGTTTTGTGTGTGTGTGTGTGTTTGCGTTGAGTTTTATAAAATGAGGTGGTTTGACTTAATAAACCGGTAAATCAGTTAAACTTTGTGATTGCATATATTTTGACAAGCCAAAAGAAGTTGTACGAAAACACAAGAGTACCTTCGACAAGTTTCGGACCTGACACAACTCATCCAGAAGAAGTAACACTAAAACAAAGACAGGCGGAGCCGCGGAGAAAATAAAAAGATAAGACTCTCGGGAACCACTTCCATGGAGTCTACTACATTCGCCGCTTCCGCAACACTCGGCCCCAGACACCTCCATCCTCTATCGCTCGTTCGCTCTTCTCCGGCCTACCGACCCACCTCGTCGAATTCGCTTTGCTATTCCTCCGCGTTGAGAAGCTTGGGAGGAGCTTCTGGTTTGCTGGTGAACGGACGCCGTTTGCAGTGTTTGTCCAGCTCATCTCCGTCCTTCAGTGGCGGCGGTTCTGGATTCGGCGGGTTTAGCGGCGGAAGAGGCGGTGGTGGAGGCGGAGGAGGAGGAGGAGGATCGGATAGTAGTGATTCAAAGTCGAAATTGAGTGCTGGAGCAGGTGATGGCGTCTCTGTTCCTTCTTCAGACATCATTGTTCTCAATGTCGGAGTACGTTCTCTCTCTATGTCTCTGTCTCTTAATGACTGGTGATTTCAAATTCACTCACAGTTATGTTTACATCGAATGTTTTAATGAATTTAAAGGGGATGACATGTGGTGGTTGTTCAGCAAGTGTGAAGAAGATCCTGGAAAGTCAAGTAAGCCTTTAAGACCAAAGTCGTGTGTTATGTGGTCTTTAGAAAATGGTTGTCTGATTATTTTGATTTAGAAGATATCTTTCTTTTTTTTTGCTTTATAGCCGCAAGTTGCTTCCGCTAGTGTTAATCTCACCACCGAGACAGCAATAGTGTGGCCTGTACCTGAAGCCACAAGTTTACCTGATTGGCAAAAGACTTTAGGCGAGACGCTTGCTAATCATCTCACCAACTGTGGTTTTCAGTCTTCTCCTCGAGGTAAGAGGGTGCAGCAATCTCTGTTAATAGTGTCTACTTCTCGTGTTCACACTGTCTAGGAATAGGGTTCCTTTAGAATCAATCAGGACAGTCCAGAGATGAAAACTAGTATAGTTCTTTGAAATGGTTTAGCCTCTGATTAATTTATTTGGAAACATGGCGCCTTAAGATTTAGTGTTTCAATAATGCTAACTGAGTGGAAGTGAAAACACAAGTCTCATTATCTTTTTTTTTTTTTTGTGTGAATCTGGTGGATACTGGTTTGGTAGATGAAGTTCCTGAAGATATTGTTGGAGAGTTTGCACCTTGACAGTATGAAATATTTCACCAGCAGCAATCACTAACGATATGGTAATGTTCTCTGTGTGAAAATTGTTAAATGTGGATTTGAGAAGCTGATTAAGTATACTAACTTAATTACTTTTCCTTTACCAGATGTACTAAGAGCAGTTGCTAGTGAGGCATGGATTGTCAACATAGATTTCTGGTTCTTGTGGTTCCATTTATGAAGAGTTTGTTGTCAGTCTCCTCTGTGATATATTGGTTATCCTAAGGCCATGTATTTATCTATAATGTCTTCCCATTGATGACACTCCTTCTCTGGACCAGACAGCATTAATGTTGTTTTATAATAAAACAAATTAGTGGTGTCACCTGAGGACCCTCTTTGTTATCTTATACTGTTGTTGGTGTTTCTTTAGCTATCTTCTATTTTACTTAATGGGGATTTGTAATTTTGATTGGTGATATTTTTAATAAAGTAGATGGAAGAGGAGTACATATCAAAAATGGAGGAGAGAAGGCAAATATTCTGGTATTA